AGCTTTATGCAAACACGAGAATGCACCTACTTAAATTTGCCTGAACATTTAGTTCTCACTGTTTGTGGTACAAAGCCGACAGTATTTTTTTTTTCTTTTCATATGTGAAGACCCTTTGAAAAAAGTTTATGTTCATGATTTGTTTGGACACCCGAATCAAATTCAAAGCCTTCCTCTTTTGCACTTTTTTTTAATTACTAATCTTGAAGAGGCAAGAGCTTCGCTTATTACAGAAAACAACCGAAAGTGGATCATCAGAACAGTAAGAAATGTGATTAGTGAAGTATTAGCTGTGTCTGGAAACAGCATCCCAGAAAGAAAAGGGCCTTCAGCCTTCTAGCTTTTTGCTGCCAAGGGAGTGAAAAACAAGCCCAATGTGTGCCCTGTAAATTTAATAAATATTGTAACTCCCGATCAATTATTTGTGAAGCAAAAGAGGTTACTTAAATGCAAAGGATTTGCTCCTCCAGGCAAGATTCTGAGATCGAATCTTGGCATTGATATAGTGTTTATGAATTTAATATATCATCACCTCCCTCAATAGGAAAGACCCTTAAAAAAGAAAAGAAAAAAAGGGTGACTTAAATTTATCGAGCTTCAAAGGCAAATTAAGTTAGTGCCATATTACAGTTTCACCTCCAAAGTTACTTCACCAGCACTATTGGTAGATATTGCTTTTTCAGCTTTAAGTATAAGCCTTAATTTGGCTTGTCTTTTAACCTCAGTTACTTTGTAGTTGAACTTAGAGCCTTTCCACCCATGCAGCCCAGCCCGAGGCTAGGGGGAAAAAAAAAAAAAATGGCTTTCCAGCGGAGCAGCCCAGGCCCGGGGGGGGGGTGGGACCCCCCTCCTCGGGCTGGCCCGAAGGCAAGTCTTACCCGAGGTCCAAAACGAGGGGGGTTACTGTAGCGCTACAGTAACTGCTACAGTACGCTACAGTACTGCTACAGTACCTCGCTGATTTGATTTTTTTCCCTGTTGCCACGTGGCGTCGTCTGGGCTCTCCGATCTGATTTTTTCCTCCAATCCAACGGCATCCAATTTTTTTGCAATAAAATACTGAAAAAAATTCGGAAAATTTTTTAAAAAATACCCAAAAATTAATGAATTTTTTTCTATAAATACCAGCCTTTTTTTTATAATTTATCTGAAATTTGAAATTGAAAATTTTATC